GCTGGCAGGTGGTCCCAGATTCAGACGCCCACAGAGCAGGGCTACAGGAGGGAGACCAGGTTCTTTCAGTGAATGATGTTGATTTCCAAGACATAGAGCACTCAAGAGTAAGTCGAGGCTGAATTTCAAACAGGCTTTATTTAACACATTGTCTCCAGCACACACTTACATATTGAAATCTACTCTATTCATAAATCTGATTTAGTTTAGGTGTATTTCTATTCATGTATGTACAAGAATAACAAATAGCTTCACATACTATGCTGTGCTCTTTAATCTTCAATATAGTCTGAACATATTCAAGGCGGGGTTGCTCAAGTAAACCTATAATGGTGATCATGATAATAATTTTTTGTGTCAATATCAAGCTCACTATTACAAAAAGTAAGTAAACTTTAATTTGGGGGAGTGCGGTATAGGATAATCTAGACATATTGTTTTATTTGTATTTCAAAATTTCAAGAGTTGAAAAAAATTGATACCGATACCTGGGGAAATACTTGATATTGGATACCCTTTTATATACTGAGGGTGAGATTTTTACCCTATTCTGCAACAACAAGAGTATCAGCAATGAGGTAATTTATTAAATTAAATCTAAGTTAGATTAAAAAAAATAAGTATTTGAGACAACATTTAGAGATTTTATTCATTTTATACATTTTTAATTTATTTTCAGAAATATCCCTACACCCTCATTGTTATTTGGCTGAATGTCTCTTAGCAAGTTGCACCTCAACCAGATGCTTTTGACAGCCATCAACAGGCTTTTTGGATTATTCTTTTTATTATTCTTGGATTATTAGTTACACACTCATTCACACATTGTGGCTATACTTGTAAAACAAACTTAACCCTGTCGTGAACGTGTTCTTGAATTATTCTGACGGGATATTTGTCCACTGTTCTTGGTGGAATTGGAGTTCATTTTTACCATTAAAAATTACCGTGACATTTATACTCACAATGAGCATTATATATAAGTGCATCTCAAAACATTTGAATATTACAAAAAAGTTCATTTGTTTTTGTACCTTCATTCAAAAAATGATGGATTATAACTCATGAAAATCAGAAGTCCACTTTCTCAAATTAGTAGAATATTTCAGATCAAAAAAGGATTTGGAATCTTACTATGTCCAGTTTCTGAAAAGTGTGTTCACCTATTCTTTCAGTACTTGGACAATGCTCTGTTTCCATGATTTACTACATCAGTGCAGTGTGACATGGAGGTGATCAGTTTGTGGCACTGCGGAGGTGTTACTGAAGCCCTGGTTGGCCCGATGGTGTCCTTCAGCTCGTCTGTGTTTTTGTGTTGGGTGTTTGTTATCTTCCTTTTGACAGTATGCCATTGATTCTCTGTGGGATTCAGGTCAGGCGAGACGGCTGGTTATTCAAGCACAGCAATAGCATGGTGAGCAAACCATTTGGTAGTTTTGGCATCGTGGGCAGGTGTTATGTCCTGCTGTAAAAGGAAATTGGCATTTCCATGAATCTTGC